TAGATGAAGAATGTTTAATTAATCTTGACACACTTCCAACATTGAGTACTTTTAAATGTCTTTTGTATAATGTTTTAAAGGATATTTGTAATTGTTTTTCATGATCTGATTTTATTTATGAATTGTGATTGTGTAATTTGTGGTACTGTCTCTGTGATTCCATAAATAAACCATAGACCAAAACCGAAGAATGTAAGTCTGCAAGACCTCCATTCTGAAAAGAAAAAAAAATAGTGCTTTACAGAGGACTTGAGGCAATTAAAGTGTGATTCTGGTTACTGCCTGTTTTCTCTTTGAGTGAATGGAGCAGTTCTTTGAAGTGGTAAGTCTAAACAAAATTGTGTGGATTTAATTGTGGCCAAATCAAACAAATATCTCACCTGTTTTTGCTATAGAAAGGAAAATGTTGCCTCTACAACGTGTTTACACAGACTACAGCTACAACTCTAAATGGCAAAGAAAACATAATTAATAATGCTGTCAAGTTGTTGTTGTTTATAAAAGCATATAAAGAAACGGCTATATGGTCCAATTTTCACTTGTCAAAAATGGCCACTGATGGGTGTTTAAACAATGGGCTAATTCACAGCCCAAAGCTGGAACAGGAAGACAGACACAAAGGGGAAAAGACCACCCTGATAAATTAAACAAACTCTATGACAGTGAACAGACTTACTTTACACCGCAATCCTGGTTGGCTCACCTCAATCCAAATAATTGCACCACATTACATTGGACACGTGTGCCAACCTCAGTCTTTAAGAAAAGCAATCGCTCAATTTGTCGTTCAAGGTGCAAAACCATGAAAGCAAACTAGGGAAATTAGTTGGTTTGAAGGAAGGTATGCCAACACAACTGATGAAGGTGTTACAAGAAGGTTAAAAAAAAGAAACAAGAACTGAAAGATTTTCATGACTTTTTGTGCCATTAGTAGTACCAAACACATTCTTATCAAACATCATATCAATCTATCCCCGAACACCAAAAATGTATCTTGTTTTTACCCAAAAATTACAGGTTTATGTTCTCATCTGATAGTCTCTGTTCAGTAATAGCAATAATATTTTTTGTATAATTGTCTTTTACGCCCCAGCTGTGCAAGCCACAGCAGTGGCAAAGGAACCAAAACTCTTATCAGGAGTTACTGGTCCCATCTGGTCTATTTTTGGCTGCAGTGTATTCAAAGTTATATTTATCTGTCCACCTTTCAAGCGAGCACTCTGAGGAGGAAGGAATGTTGCGCTCCAAAGTGGAGCAGCAGCCTCAATTGGCGCACTGATTTGGCGGTAATTTCATGTGATGGTGCCTGACGAGGCGAGATGGAGGGAAAATAGATAATGTGATCAAGACTGGACAGACGAGCCATGGAGGAATGTTCCTGGATGGCTAAACAAACCCACGGAGTGTGTGGATTAGAGCATGGCATGAGGCACTAGTCAACAGAACAGAAGAGGTCACCAATGTCCTCCTAACCAGTAAATGTTAGTGTTGACCTTTTAAAAAAATTTGACCACTGCAGTAATTTTCAACCATGTAAAGATGAAATACATTATAGAGTGAGAGAGATGCTATGTGTGATTTTACCACAGTTAAATGTGGTGTCTCAATTCTGTGTGTTTTCAGGGACATACGATTTTGATACCCCACTATAAATTAGCAAAAATGTTTGATCAAAGGGTATTATCAAGAACAATTAACAATGTTAAAAACACCAAAATTATCATCACTTAGGTTTAATCCAACACTGAAGACAACACTGCTTTTTAGTAAACAACAATTCTTTGTACAGCAATATATAGAAAAGCCGAATTTCTTTCTTTCTTTCTTTCATTTAATAATAATAATAAAAAAAAATGAATGCATAGCCTTTAGGGTTTGGTTGGCCAAAATCCTAATTAATATCCATGACTGAAGGTCTTGTTTGAATGTTCTATGCTATATGTTAATGATAGGAAATTACTACATACATACTATTAGACAGTATATTTTTACAATGTTATCATACAACACATGGGATAATTTTAGAACCTTTAGGTATTAATAGATAGTTTGAGTATTATTAGTACAACTAAGTCACAGAGTGTTCTAAATTAATAACTGGCGGGATGGTGCCGATTTACTGAGTTGAGGATGAGAGGTTCGGATTAACCTCTGATATCTCAAACTCAACCTCTCAAGCCCTCCCTTGATAATCTCTCAGTGTAGGCTAATTGCAAAACAACGAGAGGGCTGATCATGGCCGTCTCCCACAACGGACCACAAATTTAACAAGCAATAAACAGTATTGTAATGGCCCTGGGGCTGATGTCCCCCTCTCACCCAGAATAAACTTTAAGAAGGACGCACCTAGGACCCTATAGAGCAGAAAGCAAAAGTATCTATCTATCTATCTATCTATCTACTGTAATGTTAATCTAACACATGTACATCACAGGCCTAAGTGTAGTGTCACATTATAAGTGTTATTATTGATATAATTGTTATAATTTCTAATTGTTAATGTATGTTATATATACTGTACCAATTAATACATTGTTCACTATTGTTTTTGATTAAATGAGAAATAACACTCCGTTAATAATCTGTGGTTCTTACTTAAGTTTATTAGATTTGTGAATGTTGTTCAGATAATTCTCTAAACTGCCAAAATGTCCATAAAATCATAACACAAGCACACAAACAGGAAACAAAACAAAACAAACAAAAAAAGAAAATGAAAAGAAAAAACAGAAAAGAATGAATACTTACAAAAATTCTGTCATTGGGGGAAACGTTGGAATAACATCTATGCCCATACATGAGACGGCGAAGGCTTTCCATTGGGAACACTCGCAGTTTTGAGGACATGAATTCGTATATCCGATCACACACACAATTGACAGTATCAACATCAACAGCACATTTGTCGCCATAATATAAAGAATATAGTTATTTTCCGCTGGAAAACTGCAGTCTCTTCCCTCGGTTTTGGACCATTAAATAGTGACACGAACATTGACGAGCACTTTAAAAGCTCAAACTTAATTGAGCGTAAGAGTCAATGAGAGTGAGAGAGGCTTTGAGTGAGGCGGACGGCTGATGCGCCCTTGCGGTTTCTATGGGAACTGAATAGTTGTAAGCAACATCTCTCATAGTCTCTCATTTACTAATAATTGCGTTGATTAGTCTTAATCATTAAATATATTTGTTTTTTGTATGAAGGCTAAATACAAATAAAAGGTGAACATTCATTTATTTGTGCAGTTTAAAAAAAATACATATTATACAGTTTTATAGGAGGAGGTTTCATTTTTCAGAAGTTTGTAGGTACAGACATCTGTTGTGGGCATTCTTAGCAGTTTTTCTGAGGCTTTTTTTTATTTTTTATTTTTTTAAATATTGTTCCTATCGATATCGGAATTATGGAACTAGACGAAAACAAGGAGATACATACTCTCTACAAACTATCCCCGCAACATTTAGGCAGGCATTTCCAACTGATTAAAACAGGGCAAAACAAATCACATAAAAAATCATCATATAACATTTGTAAAAATCAAGGAAATTTCTCTGGCATTTCTTTCTTTTTGCTGTATCGAAAACGTATCGAACCGAACCGTACATTTTGTGAACCGTTACACCCCTATATATACACACACACACACCCACACACACACACACACACACACACACACACACATATATATATATA